GTCAGAAATGACTCCACACAGCACACCACCACTTTGAGTTAGTCTAACAAGAAGATCGGGGAAGTAGCTGGCATTTGAGCCCTCTGAGTGACAGAGATTACCCTGAGGTTACAGAGGCCGGGAACATGAGTTTGGAGCTGAGGTGTGATTCTCACCCACTGGCTCTGTAGTGACTGGAGGTGGAAGGAAGGCACCTGGTTCCTCAGAGCCTGTAGGACCGGGGTGAAGGGGACGGGGAGAGCATCTACGAGGAAGAGAAAGGGCATTATGGAGAACGTGTGTGGTCTGGGTAAGTCACTGTGCTATGCTGGTCTCGGTTTATTCACTGTAAAATGGGCACGCACTGAAAGATGCTTCCCTGGTGGCCAGCTGTGTGCCAGACCTTTCCCAGGCTCATCCAGTGTGCCCAGGTGACCAGAGCCTGGTCACTCTATGCTGTTATTTGCTGTTGAGTTGGCACTAGCAAATCATCATGACCCCACATGTGCAGAGGGGAGCTGCATTCAGTAAGGTTTTCAGGAGTGTGGTCCTTCTGAAACAGACAGCCAGGTCTTTCTTGTGAGGCATCTTTGGGTGGGTTTGAACTGCCAACCTTTCCGTTAGTAGATGAAAGCTTCACCGTTTACACCCTTCTGGGTCTCCTGGCTGTCTCTTTCAGAAGGTGACAGGCTCGAGGACACAGTGACTAGGAGTCCTCTTGGAAGGCAGTGGTATGATCTGAAGATCCCTGACCCCCCTCATGCCCACCCCTGAGAACAAACAAGACAAGGAAAACACCTCATCACCAGGCAGGGTTGTGCTGGGGCTGGTGGACCAGCGAGTGGGAGCCACGGTCCAGGGTGTGTTCCTGAGCTTCTCCATCAGCCCTGCTCACTTGCTCATCAGATACAATGGGAGTGTGGGCTTCCAGATGAGATGGACTCAGCCACGTTGCTGGTCCTGTGTGGCCGGTAGCATGCCACCCACCTCTCGTGCCATACTTGCCAATCTGTATCCCTGAGAGGATTGAGAAGTGAAATGCCGAGCAGTGTGGGACCACTGTGATGCTTCCTCAGCCTGTGAACCATCATTCAGACTGTTCTTCGCTCATCTCTTCGGGCGTCTGTGGTGTTGATCGGAAATGGGCCTGGGGACTGACTTCCGAGGTGGTGCTGTTGTTAGATATTGTCAAGCTGGTTTCGACTCGTCGCAACGCTGTGCACAAGGGATTGAAACACTGCCTGGTCCTGAGCCATCCTCACAGTCATGGGTAAACCTGAGCCCATGACTGCTGCTAATCCACCTTGTTGGGGGTCTTCCTCTTTCTCACTCACCCCCTTCTCCAGGGACCACTCCCTCCTGATAGTTATGTCCAAAGTGTGAGAGTCTCCCCATCCTGGCTTCCAAGGAGCATTCTGGCTGTACTTCTTCCAACACAGATTTATTTGTTCTTCTGGAAGTTCGTGGTACTTTGAATATTCATCAGTGCCATAACGCAGATGCATCAATTCTTGTACAGCCTTCCTTATTTATTGTCCACCTTTTACATGGGTCAAGCACAACTCAGTCCTCAAACTGATTCAAATCTTTGTTCTTGTACACTTTAAAGAGGCCTTGTGCTACAGATTTGCCTAATGCAATACGTTATTTGATTTTTTGACTGCTGCTTCCATGAGTGTTGATGGTTGATCCCAGCAAAATGTAGTCTTTGATAACATCAATCTTTTCTCCATTTATATGGATGTTATTTATTGGTCCAGCAGCGAGGATTTTTATTTTCTTTTTAGCTTGGGATGCAACCCATATTTAAGGCTGTGGCTTTTGATCTTCATCAGTATTTTAAATCTTCTTCACTTTCAGCAAGCAAGGTTCTATCATCTACATAACGTAGGTTGCTGATGAATCTTCCTCCAACCCTGATGCCACGTTCTTTTTCATATAATCCCAACTTCGCAGTTTATTTGCTCAGCATACAGATTGAATAATTGCGGTACACACCTTTATCAAACCATTCAATGTCCCCTTATTCTATTTTTAATCTAGGTATACGTTACTCATGAGCACAATTAAGTGTTCCAGAATACTCATTCTCCACAGTGTTGTTGTTAAGTACCCTCCAATCACTTCCAGCCCATAGTGATCCTGTAAATGTTACGTGTTTGTAGGTCATACAATTAGAATCTTACTTGTGGATCTTTTTTTATATAACTGAAAATAAATGCCCATTGAATAGAATTCCTTTAGACTTTTAAAGGTTGCCTGTTCTGACTGTCCCTGCAGTTGTCCTTGGTGAAGCCAGGGCCAGTGGGCAGGTTGATTACCTGTCCCTGCGAGGTGCAATCGATGAATGCACTTGCTGGTAACGGAAAGGCTGGAGGTTCAAATCCACCCAGAGGCACCTTGGAAGAAAGGTCTGGCAACTTCCCAAGAAATGAGCCATTGAATACCCCATGGAGCCCAGTTCTGCTCTGACCCACACGGAGACTCAATAAATAGGGGTCAAGTCAACAACAGCTATGTTTGGGGGTTGGGGTGGGGAGGTTAGGGCGTAGGCGAGGGATAGACAAGGGTGAAGAGTTTGTTAGTTGGTAGCAACCCCCTTCCAAAACACGGTTGTATTAGTTGAATCTAGGATTTGAGAGTTGGAAATCTTCAAAGGAGCTGGACCCCCTCTTTGGCTCAGAGCGGCTAGTGTGAGCGCTTTGCCCTGGATCCTGGGACGCTGCAGGCCGAGTTTCGCAGAATTCTCGGCTTTCACAGCTGGTTCATTGAGGTACTGAGAATCCAAACCGGGTTTCGGTCTGCACAAACGGAGAACTGTGTCTGCTGTTCAGTTCTGATTTTCTTGGAGCAGCACAAAAGGAGCATTAGGTCATCATTTTGGGAACTCGGATTAGAGTTTCAGCTCACCTACTGCCCTGCAACTTGATATTTTGTTGTGTTTCCTAATCCTTGGAGTGTGAAAGCAACAAGGGAAGAGGGGCAGGGACAATAGCCGTGTTTGAACCCTCATGCTCTGCAGAGACTCTTACATTGCATCCCAGGTCACCTGCCTTGGGAGCTTTGTGTGTCTCTTCCCATTTGACAGATAAGGAAACTGAGGTGCTCAGCCAGCGCAGCAGCAGTAGAACTAGAATTGGGGCAAATGTTTTGACTCAAAATCCAAGTCACTTTTCCTAACGCTTTGTGAGAGTTGGACAGTGAATAAGGAAGACCGTAGAATAATTGATGCATTTGAGTTGTGGTGTTGGAGGAGAATATTGAAAGTACCGTAGACTGCCAAAGAACAAAGAAATCTATGCTGAAAGAGTGCAGCCAGAGTGCACCTTAGAAACCAGGATGGCTAGACTGCGTCTCTCATACTTTGGAAACATTCCCAGAAGGGACCATTCCCCAGAGAAGGACATCATGTTGGGTAAAGTGAAGGGTCCACTCCCCAGAGAAGGACATCATGTTGGGTAAAGTGAAGGGTCAGCTAAAAAAGAGGAAGACCCCCTACGAGATGGAGTGGCACAGTGGCCGCAGTATTGGGCTCAAGTGTAGTATCAGTTGTGAGGATGGCACAGAACTGGGAAATGTTTCATTCTGTTGAGTTGGAACCGACTCAATGGCTCCTCATAACAACAATTGCTCATCCACTCCTGGGTGGTGCAAAAGATTAACACTCCGAGCGGCTCAGACAGGTATTGGAGGTGTGAGTCCCCTCACAGAGGCCTCAGAAGAGAGACTTGGCACTCGCCTTCCCAAGGACCAGCCGTTGCGTTCTCTCTGGAATCCGCTTCCACTCAGGCACACACAGGGCACTGTGGGTCAGGGTTGACGCCGCAGCAGTGGGTTAATGCCAGTTGCAGGTGCCTCCTGAACCCCTTGCCTCGACACATGTTCATTCTAGAAGACTTGGGGTAAGGGGGGATCCCGGTGGACAGGCAGGAGGCTGGGCCGGGTATTAGGCAAAAGACATCCACTGTGACACTGTTGGGGAGTCCTGGTGTGGCGCTGTGGGCTAATGCGTCAGACTGCAAAGCCTGTTTGAACCGAAAGGTCGGCGGTTCAAGCTCACCAGCTGCTCCTCGGAAAACCTATACAGGGTTGCTATGGGTTGGAACTGACTCGATGGCACTTCACAACAGCAATGACACTGTTGGGAAGTCCTGGTGTGGCGCTGTGGGCTAATGCGTCAGACTGCAAAGCCTGTTTGAACTGAATGGTCGGCGGTTCAAGCTTACCAGCTGCTCCTTGGAAACCCTATACAGGGTTGCTATAGGTTGGAACTGACTTGATGGCACTTAACAACAACAACAATGACATTGTTGGGGAGTCCTAGTGTGGCACTGTGGGTTAATGCGCTGGACTGCAAAGTTTGAACCAAAAGGTCAGCGGTTCAAGCTCACCAGTCGCTTCTTGGAAACCCTACACAGAGTCACTATGGGTCAAAACTGACTCCATAGCACTTAACAACAACAATAATGACACCATTCCTTTCTTTTTGAACGCTTTTCTCATGTCTCAGTAGAATGTATGGTCCGCCATCCCTACGCAGCCATATTCAGTTCAAAGGAGACGGCGCTGTTTGGGGGTGATGAACACACCGAATCTGCAGGAGTGAGCTAAGGTGGCCCCAGACGTGGGTTCCTAATGCATGTTGAATCCCACACAGAGTGAGGCTGACCGGAGAGAAGGAAGAGCTGGTGTTTGAAGCAGCGCCTCGTTGGGTAAATGCAGCTCGCTGCCAGCAGGGGCAGGGGTCTCCTAACAGTGAAGACAATCACTTAGGAACCCAGAGGGGAGCACAGACAAGCCTCTCTTTCTGCCCTTGATACTTGTCTTGTTTCTTCTCACAGCTTATTTTAATAAAATGACGGCAGATTTGCGGCAAATGTTATTCTCACAGAGACTTAGGTAGGAATGCGTGTTGTTGGAACCCGGAGCTCTGGCTATAAATCTCAGGACAGACTCACTTTAATTTTCTCCAAACCGTCATGGGAAATACTGACTTGATTCTGCTTCTCTCTCTCCGCCAGTTCCGATACAAGAAGCGAGTGTATAAACAGTCCAATCTGGATGAGAAACAGCTGGCCAAGCTCCACACAAAGGTAGGAGGGGACCGTGCTGTGGATTCAGGGGGTTCACCAGGAAGTGGACGAGTCAGGCTGGGCAGCTGTCCCCCAGGATGCTCGCCATTGCTGCTGCCTCTTCAGAGGGGGGTGGTGGGCTTTGTGCCCTTGGTTCCCACTCATGTGACCGAGTGGAGCCTGCCATATAGGGTTTCCTAGACTTTAACCTTTATGGGAACAGATTGTCTGGTCTTTCTCCCAAGGAATGACTGTTGGGTATGAACCACCAACCTTTTGGTTAACAGTCAAGCGCTTAACCACTGTGCCAGCAAGAAGCCATGACTAGAGATTAACCAAAAACCCCGAAAGTAAACCCACAGCCATTGATCCATTCCAGTCCGTATCGACTCTACAGGACACAGCAGAATTGGTCCATAGCCTTCCCAAGGGTACAGTTGTTAGGGAAGCTGACCGTTGCATCTTTGTCCCTTGGAACATTGGTGGCCTGGTGGGTTTGAACCACCGACCTTAAGGTTAGCAGCCAAGCACTCAACCACTGCGCCACCAGGGCTTCTTCACAAAGAATGGCCAGTGGAACCCTGGAGGCAGTAAGGTCAGAACATGCCCATGTTGTAGACATTGTTCATAAAAGCACATCCATTGTCTTGTTTCTCCCCTCAGACCAACCTGAAGAAATGCATGGACCATATTCAGCATGGCTCAGTGGACAAAGTTGTCAAGATGTTGGATCGCGGCCTTGACCCCAATTTCCACGACCTGGAGACGGGAGGTGGGTGTGATTAGAGAGGGCAAGATATGGCTGGAGAGTAGGTTCGGGCTGCTGGTTCTGTTATTCTGTTCTAGCTGGATGGACTGATGTTTACGTGCATTGGGATTTAAAGCTACTTCTGACTGGTGTGTGAGCCGGTTGTGTCTGGCACATGGCTGGGGGCAGATCATTGCTGTTGATAAATGAATAAGCGAGTGAACTGTGTGTCTCAGTCTCCAGGTATTCCTATAACGGAAACACCAAAAGGGGGCGGCTTTAACAGACAGGAATTCATTTTCTCACAGTTCTGGGCGCCGGCTCTAGAAGGTCTTTGTCTCTCTTCAGTTTCTGTTCCGGGGTCCTTGGTGTTCGTTGTGTGGCCTGGTCTCTGTCTGCCCCCACCTCTGCTTACTTCTCTGGGCCTAAACTGCCCTTTGTATATCTGAAAACATGTTCTACACAAATAGGGTTCTTTAACAAAGAAAACTTGTCCCGATAGGATTATAACCCAGTAAGTATGTAAGGGTTAGAATGTACAGCATCTAATCCGTAGCCCCACCCCACCTGGGAGGGCCACCTTCGGCTTGTCTTCCTCCTTTTCTTGGTGATCTCTGCTTGGTATCGATTGTCTCCTCCTTTCCCCTACTTGTGTATGTCGTCTGCTCCCTTTGTAGTTCTGGTGGTGTACTTGAGCTGTAAACCACAGGGTTGGTGGTTCGAATCCATCAGCTGCTCTGCAGGAGAAAGCTGAGGCTTCTTGTTGTCTCCTGAGACCCTATAAAGGGTCACTACGTGTCAGAACCGACTTGATGGCACTTAACAACAACAACAACAGCAGTGCTATATAGCCTTATTGACATGCCAGAGAAAACCGTATTCCCAATGGGCTAGGATCTGTAGGTGTCGGCTCCAAGTCCTCGATACCCCATAGGACAGAGGAAAACTGCTCCAGGGGTTCCCGGGACTAATCTTTAGGGGAGCAGACTGCCTCGTCTTTCTCCTGAAGAGTGGCTGGGGGGCTGGGATCGCAGACCTTGCAGTTAGCAGCCTGATGCTTAACCCATGGCACCACCAGGGTCCCTTTCCCACAGGTATGGTCCTTGTTGGTATGTGCCGTCGTGTATAGGGTTTCTGAACCCTGTATAGGGTTCCTGAAGAGCCGCTGGTGGGCTTTACACACTCACCTAGTGGACTTCAAGCCATGACTATGTCATGCATGGACTGAGTTACCAAGTGCCAACTTGGGATGGAGGGGGCCCAGCTTCTCGCCCTGGATGTGTAGCCCTCTCCCCACCCCCCACCGCCGACTCACCCCTGCTGCCAGAGCTAATGTTCTGGGAACACACATGTTCATAAACACCTGTGGGTGCTTGCATCTGAGTCTGGGTGGTCAGGCCTGTCCAGGTACATGTGCACACACACAAGACGACCTGGTCCCTTTTTCTGTGGCCCCCTCCTGGTTTTTTTGGAGATGCAGCATCATGAATGTGGGTTCCTCAGCCTCCGTGGAGGTGGACACTGAGGCAGACACGTCCGTGTGGTGGGGCCTGTCTGTGTGCTGGGGGGTGCTGGCGGCCCCAGGAGAGCTTCTGTCCAGTCTGGAGTCAGTGTGGCAACCAAAAAAGAAGCAGATCCCCGGAGGCAGGGTCACCCCCAGTGAGGCCTCTGTGTGTGAGCACTCAGCTATACCTGGAAATACTGGACAGTGAGCGGCTCTGGAACCCACGTTTGGTGGTGGAGGAAAGGGCAGGGATGTGACACCACACGGCTGGACGGGCAGCATCAACATTCCATCCTCAGTGACCGTGGACACTGGTCAGGGGCCAGCGGGTGGCTTATCCGGCAGGGAAGGGTGTGGACTGGGTGAGAAGGAAGCAGGGGCACCGAGTCTCCGGGCAGGGTGGGCACAGGTGAGTGTCCCAGGCCAGCTTGAGCCTCGAGGTGTTCCGAGCAGGCTTCTGTCCCTCCTTCTCCTGGAGGGCAGGGCCTGATGTCCCCTGTGGTAGACAGCTCTCAAACATCTTTGCACACCACAGCCGATGCCACCAAACACTCTCGTCATGTTTCCAGGGTCAGCGGGTGCTTACACACAGGTCTTTCTGGGGGTCAGTCCTGCCCTCAGTGGTCAGTGTCTGCATCTTTGTGGCTCCCACGCTGACTCCAGACTGGACAGAGGCTTTCCTGGGGTCAGTACCCTGCCTCTGCCGTGACCATCTCCAAGTGATTTGGTGGAACTTGGGCCAGATCAGTGGTTGGTCGGTGTACCCCAATCTCTCGCCTCATCCTGACTGGCAAGAGGCAGAGGTCCACTCTGGTTGCCCTCAACTGCCCAGTTTGACCCCTCTAACTGACTCCTTCCCCGCGCCAGCCAGGCTACTTGATGGCCGCCTGCACCAACGTGTTGGCATCATCTTATTTGAAGGGGCTGAGCAGACTGTATTTCTGGAACTTTAAAAAACCCATTGACACAGGTTTGCAGCTGGGCCCTACCTAGAGGTGAACACGGATGTTGTCTTTGTGTCTTGGTTTGTGTACAGATCCTGTTGCTGCTGTTGACAGGTGTCGTCCGTTTGGCTCTGACACACAGCAGCCCTTGTACAACAGAACGAAACACTGCCAGGTCCTGAGCCAACCTCACAATCTTCATTATGTTTGAGCCCATTGTTGCTGACACTGTGCCAAGCCATCTTGTTGGGGGTCTTCCTCTTTTTCTCTAGCCCTCCACTTTACCAAGCATGATGTCCTTCTCCAGGGACTGGTCCCTCCTGATCACATGTCCAGAGTACGTGAGGTGAAGTCCTCCCATGCTACTGCTTCCAAGACAGATTCATGAGCATCGCAGGGAGGTGAACTTACGGATGACAAAGACAGATGTCAGCTTCCACCCATCTGCCAGTCTGCCCTACTGTGGTGGTTAGTGTGAGGCTGGGGGCTATGCCACCGGTATTTTAAACACCAGCACGGTCACTCCTGGTGGACTGATTTCAGTGGAACTTCTAAACTAAGACTAGGAAGAAAGCCCTGGCGAATGACAACCAAAAATCAACCAATGAAAATGCTACAAATTCCAAGTGAGTAGTGTCTGGTACAGAGCTGGAGGATGAGCCCCAGCTTGGAAGGCGCTGGAAATACACAGTGAGAACAACGGGTCTGAGTCCTTCAAGGATGCTGCAGCAGGGTCCAGGCAGTACTCGTTACACTGTACCCGGATCGCCACGACTCAGAGTCCACTTGAAGACACCAACAGTCACAACAGAAAGGACACCAACAGAAGTGTGACCCGGCTCACTTTCCCAGGACCTGGTGGCCCTCAGATATGCCCGTTGGCACTGCCTTCTGTGTATTATGAAGAAGTGCAGCCAGAATGCTCCGTGGAAGCCAGGATGGCCAGACTCGATCTCACGTACTTTGGGCATAGTACGTGTCCCTGTAGAAAGACACCCTGCTTAGTAAATTGATGGTGATGGGTGTGTGTCATTGAGTTGGTTACAATTCATGATGACCTTGTACAGAGTTTCCAGGGCTGTAAATCTTCATGGGAGCTGAAAGCCTTATCTTTCTCCTGCGGAACAGCTGGTAGTTTCAAACTGCTGACCTTGAGGGTAGCAGCCCAATTCGTAACCACTTCGCTACCAGAGCTCGTCTCTTAAATTAGCTGTAAGAAAAGAATGTACCCAGTCCAACAGCTGCGATGTTGGGCATATGGAGTATTAAGAATGGGAAGAATGCTGTGTTATAGCAAACAATGAGAATTCTCAGACATGGACAACCACAGATGGCTCCTTTGTTCGCGCCATAATACGACTGGAGGTCTTCTGAGTCTCTGCCCTACTTCCTGAGCTTCTGCCCACCTGGTATGCCAGACCATCTTTTTTTTGGTCCCTTTCTGTATTCAGCAAATTGTGGTGTTTCTGCTCCACAGCAGTGCAGATGCCCTGTCTTGTTGATGTTGTATCTCTGGGTTCTAGTCCCTGGCATCTAGTAAGATGCCCTTCAAGGCGGTGAGACTGGCATGACATAAAGCGGTAGCCTGCTGTTCTGGTCTTGACCCTGTGGATCGCTCCTGAGAGAAGGGATGGCCGCGGGAGTTTTGCCTGAATCGAAACAGGAGCAGAGCATGGTTTCTTTAACTCAGTGGACAGAGTGGTACAGTGAGTTAGGCGTTGGGCTGCTAACAGCAAGGTTGGCAGTTCAAACCCACCAGCCCCTACAAGGGAGATCAATGAGGAATTCCAGTATACAGCCTCAGAATTCCCAAGAAGTCCTTCTACCTTTTTCTACACAGTTGCTATGACTCAGAACCAACTCGGCGGCACTGGGTTTGATTAGGTTGGGTTTTTGCAGAGCTATTGTGTGGCGCTGTAGGATTGGAGCTGTCGTGTCGCGCTGTAGGATCAGCGCTGGACAGTAAACCATGAGGCTACTCCTCGGAAAAACCCACCAGCTGCTCTTCGGAAACCCTATAGGGGGTCGCTGTGAGTCGGAACTGATTGGATGATACTTAGCAACAACAACGTCATGTTGAAGGGGAGCGCCATGGCTCCATAGGCTAAACACTGGACCATGAACCACAAGGTCTGCAGTTCGAGTCTGCCAGCTGCTCTGCAGGAGAAAGTTGAGGCTTTCTGTTCCTGTGAAGATTGAAGCAGCCTTGGAAACTCTATACAGAACCGCTGTGGGTCAGAACCGACTCAATGGCACTTAACAACAACAGCAATTATTTATGGTCAAGCACAAGACATCTTTCAAGTGTTAAGAACAAGGAGATGAGTTGAGGATTGTGGTGCGCCTGACCTATGACATGGTATTTTCAGTAGCCTCATGCGCATGTCAGAGTCCTGGTGTGACGCTGTGGGCTAATGCGTCAGACTTTTAAGTCATTTGAACTGCAAGGTTGGTGGTTCAGGCTCACCATTCGCTCCTTGGAGACCCTACATAGGGTTGCTATGGGTCGGAATTGACTCGACGGCAATTAGGAACAACGACATCATATACATGTAGAAGTTGGACAGTGAATAAGGAAGACCGTAGAAGAAGCGATGCAGCTGAGTTATGGTGATAGGGAAGGGCATTGAAGGTGCCACACATTGTAAGAGGAACAAACCGATCTGTGCTGGAAGAAGTACAGCCAGAATGACTATTCCTTAGAAGCCAGGATGGTGAGACGTCATCTCTCATACTTTGGACGTGTTTTCATAGAGGGACCGATTCCTGGAAAGAAAGACATCATTCTTGGTAAAGCGGAGGGTCCGTGAAAAAGAGGAAGACCCCCAGTGAGATGGATTGGTACAGTGGCAGCATCAATGGGCTCAAGGGTGGCCACAATTGTGAGGTTGGTGCAGGACTGGACAGTGTTTCGTTCTGTTGGTCATAGGGTCGCTGTGAGTCAGAACAAACTCGATGGCACTTAACAACAATGACAAATCATGTTGAAACCCTGTCTCTGCCTCTATTCTGATGAGCAAGTCACACACACACACACACACACACACACACACACACACACACAGACTGCAAGGCATACTGGGGGTTGACTGGCAGGCGGAAGCTGCCAACCCTGGCTTCCCAGGAAGTTCCTTTTGTGTTTAGCTGTCTTCTCTACGTTTTATCATCATCTGGATGAAAGTTTACAGAGCAAATTGGTTTTTCAGGCAACCATTCATACACACGTTGTTTTTGTGACATCGATGGCTGTTCTTACAATGGAACAATGCTCTTCCCCCTCCCCGCCTGTGTTCCCCGTTTCTGTTCCTCCGTCTTTCCAATCCCTTCCTGCCTTCTGAGTTTTCTCCCTGAGTCAATGCTGGCCTTTATCCCCTAGGACTGACTATTCGAGGAAGTGCGTACCTACCTGGTGTCGTTGTTCCTCTTAGAGGCCTGTCTATGGCTTGGCTGAAAGTTGAGCTTCAGTGAGTGGGGTGGGTGGGTGGGGGGCTGAGTTCAGCTCCACGTCTGAAGGGTGACCATGGGTCATAGTCTTCTTAACTACAGGAAACCTGGCTTTGTTTCTGATTTTGAGTTTTGTTCCATGTTTTTCTGCCACTCCATCCTGGAGGACTCCAGATTCTTCAAGCCCATCGTTGGAGGTCTGCGAAGTAATGAGGGGACTTGACGGCTCATCCCCAGGTGTTGGTTTTAGAGTGTATGTGTTTGTGTCTTCCAGAGACGCCCCTGACCTTAGCCGCCCAGCTGGACGACACCGTGGAAGTGATCAAAGCACTCAGGAATGGCGGTGCACATTTGGACTTCCGTGCCAAAGACGGAATGACCGCCCTGCACAAGGCTGCCCGGATGAGGAACCAAGTTGCGCTAAAGGTAGATGCCAGAGCCTGTCCTACCAGGGGGTGACCTCGCCTCTCATCTAATCCCCCATCCCATGCTTCCTGATACAGCTGGTGAGCAGTGGTCCATCTTTCCCAACCTTAATCCTTGTTTGTTACGTTTAGAACTCACTGCTTACAAAAGTTGTCTCAGTCAGAGGGCCTATGCTTTCAGCCAGCGATGCCAGTGCTGAAACCTAACCCCAACCACAGGAGGATCCCACAAACCCAGCCTCAGGCATGTGGCCAAGCTGCCTGCAACTGCCTCTGAGGGTTGGGGACCCAGTCCCACGGGTGTGGATTATAAACCTCCTCTTCCCTGGCCATCGTCCCCAGGACCAGCTTTGTCTGCCTCACAATGTATTTCTTTGTTATTGAAAAAGTTATACTATGGTATGATCCATGCAACACAACTGTGCCATTTGTACTTTGAAAACAATGTACAATTTAGTGCATTTAGTACATTTCAGTGTTGTGTGACCCGCACCAGTATCTGTCTTCAAGGTTTTTCATCCCTGTGAGCAATAACTCCCAATAACTGAAAGCAGTATTGTTGTTGTTAGGTACCATGTGGTCAGTGGTGTCTCATAGCAACGCAGTGCACGGCAGAGCGAAACTCGACCTGGTCCTGCCATCCTTATGAGTGCTGCTACCTTTAAAGCCATTGCTGCTGCCAAGCCCACCTTGCCAATCCATCATCTCTTTGGGGGTCTTCCCCTTTATCACCGAGCCTCTACTTTACCGAGCGTAATGTCCTTCTCCTGGGGCTGGTCCCTCCTGATGGTATTACTGACATATGAGAGACGAAGTCTCACCATCCTGCCTTCTGAGGGGCTTTCTGGCTGCACTTCTTCCAAGACAGATTGGTTTGTTATTTTTGCAGCCCATGATACTTTTAATATTCTTTTCCAACACCATGATTCAAATGCACTGATTCTTCTAAGGTCTTCCTTACTCATTGTCCAGCTTTCGTGTACATATGAGGTGATTAAGAATACCACGGCTTGGCACAGGCACGCGTTCATCCACCAACTGACATCTTTGCTCTTGAACACTTTAAAGAGGTCTTTGGCAGCAGATTTGTCCAATGCTAATGCATTCAACTGCTTCAAGAGGTAGCATATGATCAAGAGCCAATGATACTGAAGGAGGAAGTCCAAGGTGCATTGAAGGAATTGGCAGAGAACAAGGCACCAGGAATTGATGGAATAAAAATTGAAATCTTTCAAGCAAGTGAGGCAGCACAAGAGGCACTCACTC